CCAGCAGGAGGTAGAAGATGATCAAATATTAAAATAACTCCCCAAACTCCTACATCAAGCCATTTGCCAGCATGAGAGTGTCAGCACCTCCAGACAGGAATGGAGTGTTATTCATCTTTCTTATTCCCAGTCCCAGGCTCTGAGCCAAATACCAGGCAGATTCTCGATACATTTGCTTAAACCATTGCAATAGAACAGGTTCTTATTTCAGATTTCTAACTTGCTCTGTGACTTTCAACAAGTTAGGTCACCTCTCTGTGCCTCCATGTCTTCAACTGTAAGTGAATGGAAACGTGTTGTGACATGCTGAGTGAACTAAATGCTGCAGCTTCCATACAAAAGGTCTCTATGAGCGTGGGTACATGTCACCGAGGCGGACTCCTTTCCCGCCCCACAGAAGGTGGCCAATTCCATGTGTATTAGAGACTCAGGCGTACAGTTCCCTCCCACTTTTCGTGCTGATGGACTGTGGTTGGAGCCCATTTCATTTTGTTCCTCTGCCTATTCTCAGAGTCTAGCAGAGTGTGTGGCCCATAGGAACTATCTATGAGGAATGAAGAAAGGAAGGAAATCATTAGTGATCAGGGTATGGGTGAATGGAAAATTAGAGCTGGATGAGATCACCCGAGAGGTCCTCTTCTTGGTTACTGTTTTATTTTTGCAAACATTATGTTAGCATCCTCGCCTTAGACGCACTTGCTAGAATAAATGTAAACAACTAGCCAGGTAAATTTAATTTGATAAAAATTTTCCATATTAAAACATTTTTATTCCTCTATGCTTTGCTTTGTTGTATTATTGGTCATGGCCTTCATGTTTATTAATAAAGAAGGATAGATTTTTCCCTTTTAGAAGAAGTACGAAACTGTGACTAGATTACAAATTTATTTTTCAGATGAACTTGGTAACCATATCAAAAGAATGGAGTTATTGTTCCCACTTCCAAAGCTAATTTTTTTTTCATTTTAATTTTTAATTTAAGTATAGTTGTTGTACAGTATTTTATTAGTTATATTAGTTTCAGGTATACAATATAGTGGTATGATATTTTTAACCTTACAATGTAGTGAGTACTTGTGAAGCCAATGAAAACTGGAAAGCATAAATTGTATTCTTTGAAGACCTTTTTTTCCCTAAAAGATGAGCATGTTTATTTCAATCTACTAAATATGCATGTTTTTAAAGTTTCACTACTTGGTATACAATCTACAGTATTTCTAAAATTTAAGGAAATTAAACAAATCCTTTCATAACTTTTCGTGTATCATTTACTTGTGTAATTAAAATGACAGACTTCTCATGCTTTTCTCAATTCCCAACTGATTAGCCTAGTTAGAAGAAATTAGTGCCAAAGAAATAAGGCATTTGTTATATAATTGCAGAAGTTATTACAATTTTAAAAGCCTTTGATACAGCCGCTTATCTGAGGGACTTAATTCACTGATGAGACCTTAAAACATTGATAAACATGTTTTTAAATTTCTTAGCATTTCTATTTTGGACTACAACTGTTAAATGCCCAAAATATACTGTGTTGCCAGATTATTATGACCACCCCATTAGTACAAAGAAGTGAATTAGTTATGCAAATAATAATAATAAAACCTTGAGAGTATTTGCTTAGGAAGTTTTCAATATTCAGCATTTTTGGAAGTGTCAATGAAGTACTGATGGGGTGGTCATAATAATCTGGCCGGCCATAATAATCTGGCCACTCAGTGTATACTCGTTTTCTCATCTTTAGTAATTCATAATTTTCCCCAATATGTAGCCTACACAGCATTTAGTATAAAATACCTGGACATGGCATGTAATTTATTGGACCTATTATAATACTTTTGACATTTCAGGTTTTATCTCTGGCTCGGGAGGGAAAAGGAGGCAACTGATTGATGTTTCTCTCTCATATTGATGTTTCTCTTTTCCTCTCCCTTCCTCTCTCTAAAAAGCAATCAAAACATATCCTCTTTGAGGATTAAGAATAAAAAAAGTCAATAAGGTGGCTTCAGTCTCCTCACGCAGTATTGTAGTTTACCATCAAATAGCATTAAATTACAGTCCGACTTTTTCAAGCATGACTCAAAGAAAATCTAGTAGGCCATTGTTAGTGTCTGTAACGTTCAGATGGGAAAAAACATTCTTGAAATCTGCCTTTCAAAGTCTATTTTCAAGGTTCAGGTTTCAACTCTTTTACGACTTTTTAGAGATAAGTGACTTGTTTCTGATTAATAGGATTTTCCATGAAGCCTGGAAAGAATTTTAAAATTGTACTTTTAATTATGTGTACATAATTACCATTCATTGATGACCTAAGTTTGTCCTAAGGTAGCCACTGCTTTTAGAGATGGGAAAATGCAGTGAACTCCTTGGTCGTTTTTTCATTCCTTTCTGGGGCCAGGAGGTAATAATAGTGCCCGTATCTCTTACAGCAGGCCCACAGTTGACTGTTTTATTCAGCTTCCTAATTCCAGTACTTGCCTGCAAACCCACGGTCCTTTGGAGTGTCAAGCTAAGACTTTGGTCCGAGCAGAGGGGAGGGGCCCAGGAGGGGGCGTGGAAACAGCCCTAAGCACAGGCTCCCTGGGTAATTCTCAGGGGAGGAACTTTTATCCTCACATGTGGGGTTTTTGACTTGAAGTCCAGTACTTGTTCTGTATCCTGGTATTTTGCAGTGAGTGGTATAAATACCACTGTGGCACTTGAAAAGATTTTAGGTGTCACAACAAACATTTTTAATGATTATATGCTGACTTTGACATATACTATTAGTCAATATATAAGTATATACAATATATAAGTATATACTATATACAAGTATATACTATATACAAGTATATAACTTGTATACTAAACCCATGATTTCTCTAAATTTATTACCTAGTACCATCAATGAGGTGTTTAAGTGAAGGAAAAGTGAATCCACTTTTAAAAAACATTAGGTTAGTAATAATACAGGTAGTCTAACCGAGCCACACTGGTGAGGGCTTCTCTTTATTCTTTTAATTACATGTTTTAGTTTCTCTATAGTTAAAATATGCCAGTAGGGGTGTAAGAGATCAACCAAAGGACTTGTATACATGCATATAAGCATAACCAATGGACATAAAACACTGGGGGATAGGGGAGGCGGGGACTGTCTAGGGCCGGGGGCGGGGGGGAATGGACACATATGTAATACCCTTTGTAATACTTTAAGCAATAAATAAAAAAAATATGCCAGTAGTAAAAGATAAGACATGGTTTCCTTTCTGAAATGTAAGGGAAAAGATGCTTTATGGATTTTGTGACTTCAATGGAGTAATTGCTTCTCATCCTTCTAATTATTCTATTGGCTTTATTTTTCTTCATAGCACTTGCCATTACATGTCACTATCATACTTGCTATATTTATTGTCTCTTGCCTCCACTAGTCTGTAAGCTGTATGAAGTAGAACTTTGTATTCTTCATGTAGTCTCCCAAGCACCTAGCAAAATGCCCAGCACATAGAAGGTGCGCAGTAAAACATTGTTAAATGAATGTTGATTAGTGACTAAACTTTACAATTACCAAATCCTCTCATTTTTCAAGCTCTACCCATCAGTTATCAGATCTGAAAAACACATACTTGTCAGCCATTTGACTTCTAGCCTGGTCACTAACCACATAAGCTCTTACAGTTTATGTCTCTGTGTATAAAATGGAGATACCATCAACTCCTAGGGCATTTATGAAAGTAAATGAGGTGACATTCATGAAAGTATTGCTCTCTCATTGTAAGCATCTATGTATCTATCCATGTGTCTGTCTATGTTTGAATTAAACCCTGTGGCACAGGATCTGACCCACAGTAAGTGAACCATAACTATTTATTAGCTTATTCATTTTTTATTAATCAATTTTACTACAAATGTGATTATTTCCTTTCTAGTCATTGGTGGCCCTATCTAAAACCAAGGACAAGTAATCAATAGATGAAAGCATTGCCTTTAAATGCCTTCACTCTTACCTTTTTTATATCTACAATATGAAGAGGTTTAAAAACATGGTGTTCTCCCAGTGAAGTACATTTAGAGGCCAAAAATAGAACAGTACATTGAGAGACTGATAAGCACTAAAGTTGTCTTTTCTGTTCCTCCTAAAAAGTCAGTTTTGTTTTTTAGATGCTTCTCATATACAGAAAACAGTGTTAGAAAAAGGAAGCATTTGAGTTTTAAAAATATGATTTCTAAGGCACTCTTTATTTTCTCTCCCTCCCTCCACCCTCCTTCCTTCCCACCCTCTCCTCCTACCTTCCTTCTTTCCTTAACTCTCCTCCCTTTTTCTCCCCCCCCCATTCTATTTGCAATCACTTTTAGATTATCTTTCAAGTTCAGATTTAATAGAAATGTATTGGCCTGCCTTAGGGACCCAGCATCTTATCAGCAACATTTTTGTATGTTCCCTCACTTTGGTTCTGCCACAATACAACAAAAGGGGGACACGATTCCCTCGTTATGCAGTAAAAGAGACTAGGTCCTAGAGCAGTTATATGATGTGCCTGAAGCCACACAGGTGGTAAACCAGAAAGCCTGGGTGATCACACCTGGGTTTTCCCCACTCTAAATTCAAGGCTGTTTTCATAGAGTATTAGTTCCATACTCTAGACTAAAGTGGAATTTTTTATTTTGCACATTTAACAGCACCTTTCTTCATTAAGATTTCTACAAGCTGAACAAATTGATTTGCAAGTTATTTATAGAAATCATTTCACCCATCACTGAAAACGGTCTTTGCAGAGCTTTTCAAAAATGCACAAAAATATTGCATGGCAGTTTAATGAAATAGAAAAAAAAGAGAAAGAATTATTGGAAACTACCGAGTGTTTATGCATAAACACAGGAAGACATACGTGGGGGCATAGAGACGACTCCCCACCGCACTGCCAGGGCTAACATTTAAGGAGCGTGGGCTTTTTTAATCATTTTCCAGGTCCTCTTGAGGCCAGGGCTCCTGACTAGAGCGTTTGTCACTCAAATTACAGGGCTCCAAAACAGTCCTGGAACTGGGGTGTTCAGCAAGACAGCTGAAAGTAGCAACTGGTGGGGACCAGAGTCAGACTCAAAGAAGAGAGCAGCAGTCAAAGCCAGAGAATACGGTAAGTCTTCAAGTCACGTGAAAGGTCAAGGGAACCCCAAATAGGAAGTGAGCCAGAAGATGGAAACCTTGGAAGCTCCAAGGTAAGTTGGGAAACGTGGCCTGGGCCACTTTGGACCAGTTGTTTCAGAATGAAGAATGTGACCAGTGTGAGGAAGTCAGAAGCCATGGCCTTATGTGGCTACCCTAATGGATTTCACCTTCCACATGAATCCCTACAGTTTCATAATGGCTTATAAATCTATGTAAAATCTATGTACAGGTGGGCAAGTACCATCCCATTTTACTCATTCCACACTCAAAGCGGAGTGAGATGGTTAAACCACCCAGACTACCATGAGAGAGTCAATGTGGAACCAGGGTAGAACCCAGCTCTGCAATGCTGTCATCTTGATGTCTTCAGAGATGGATTTCTTCCAGGTTTCTTATTACATGCTCCCCTAACCATTTGGCTTTCCTAACGGGAGGACCCATGTTCAACAAGTCTGTAAGGATCGCAGCACCCTAGATCCAAAATGTTTATGGTCGCCTCCACCTGTCAGATAGACCCAGGGTTTCACCTTCCTTGTTTTTTTAATGCTGATGTGCGCAGTAACAGTATGGGTTTGCAAAGTGCTGCTCCCCCCAGCTACCTGTACTCCTGTGTGAGGAAATGTGGGCTGTCTCTCCCTGATCATCACGGAAACTGGTTTTGATCATCTTGGCCAAAAGACATCATCAGGACTTCCCGAATGGAGGTTTGCTCTAAGGATGTCACCCTGGTTCCAGAGGGAGACCCCACTGGGGAGCAGTTCCTCTTCCCTTTGGTGCAGCATCCTAACTTCCATGGGGCAGATCTCAGTTTCTTTTAGTGCAGCCATTCTCAACCTGTGGGTCGCGACCCCTTTGGGGGACGAACGACCTTTTCACAGGGGTCTCCTAAGACCATCCTGCATATCAGATATTTACATTACGATTCATAACAGTAGCAAAATTACAGTCATGAAGTAGAAACAAAAATAATTTTATGATCGGGGGTCACAACATGAGGAACTGTATTTAAAGGGCCAGAAGGTTGAGAACCACTGTTTTAGTGCAAACCACCCAGTTGATTCAGTCTCTCTCCTCGGCTTTGGAAACTTGAGTAAATGACACAGAAACTGAAGGAAAAATCCTTGAATCTGATTTGGCCCCATAGGGTGACTGCCCACCAGCTTCTGCTTCCCAGAACCCCAAAGAACCAATGCCGATTGTTTCTAGACATTATTCTTGATTTTCTCTTAACCCAGTGAGTTCCCCCATTTCTTTCCAATGAATTTCCATCTTCACATTAGCCAGACAGTTTCTTTTCTCTGTAACCAGAGAATCCTCAGGGCTACCCTCCACGGGGAGATGGTGAGTAGTCAGACACAGGAAGGAACTGCCAGGAAGCAGGAGAAAACACATAGGTGTGAGGAGCCCATATTGCCCTGGTGTCTTGGGCATCAGATCATAAACAGCTTTCTTAAGTGTGCTCCCCCCAAATGTTCCTAAATGCCCCCATTTAACCTCAGGAAAGCTTCCCTGTCTGTATAAATTCCAGTTCTGCTTGCTCTCAGCTACATTTCCATCACCCTGTGCCGTGGTCCTTGCTACTCAAAGGCTCTCATTGGAAGCCTCCAATTAGTAAAAGTGGGAAAATGAACTAAGCATTGTTTAATTAATGAACTCTGGTTGGCCACATCTTTCATGAAAAAATAAAAAGCATTTCTTGCAGATTTAGCAAAACATTTAGAGCACAATTTCCAGGCAGGATACCGGCTGCTGAATGTGTAATGCAGGTCACTTGATCACAATGGCATCATGTGACCAGACCAAGCAGCCTTCACCTTCTCTGGACCCTTCCATTTCCAAAAGAACAGTGGGCTCGGCTCCTCTGTGCCCTTCCAAATACAGCTCAGCATTCATGCCATCTCCCTGGAACCGTCTCAATCTCAGGAGCCGAGGCAATCACTCCTCGCCCTTTGCTCCAGTTGCACTCTATGCATGGACACCTGTGTTCCTCACTCTCCAGTTTTGTAATGGCTCATGTCCATCCATCTTTCCCACTAGCCTGTAAACTCTTCTCTCGGTATTTTCACCACAGGCTTACTATGGTGTCTGGCGTACAGTGGACATTCAGTAGTTAATGTATTGTTCTTTAAAGTGATTTTCTCCCCTCCCGGTGGCAAATGCCCTGCACTAGAATTTCATATCAGCCTCACACTAAAAAAGAGGGTTGTGAAGCTGACTGTTCATTGTGGGCTCCTTGCTTTACTGCAACCTTAGCTCATCTGCATTTTTTTTTTTTTTAGAAACAGCTGTTTTCGGTTTGGTTCGGTTTTGTTTTTTAATCCATCTCACTCCAAGACAGTACAGCCAATCAATACAGATATAAAGTAGAAAGAATGGAAAATGGATGTAAGCCATTACTTTTTCTGTGGTTTCCCTTTTGGCCCTGTTTTCAAAAACCTTTCATATCTTCCACCACCTGCTTAGAATAAGTACAAATTCGTTTAAACAGTTACATATTTTAAGATCAACTAAATGAGTCTCTTTGATCCCAATTAACGATGCCAGGCTCATTCTTAAGGTGCGTTTGTGTTTGCTTCTGCTGTGTGCGTCCTGCTCCCTGCGCTGCTGACGTGTCACACCAGATAATGTGCCGGTGTGACATGGAAATGGGCCTTTCCTTCGAGGTATTCTGCATCCTCTGTTCACAGGGGAAGCTGTTCCACTTGTGGGGTGTGATATTAAAGTGTGTTTCCCTTTGGCATTTTAGTTAAAACTTATAGGAAGGATAACAGCTATAAAGAGAGGTTTGCTATTTGAGGAAACTGGTATCTTTCTTCCTTCTAGTATTCGTTCACAATTTAATTCATTCTGGCCCGTTGGGGTTTACAGAATGGCCCAGGTGTTTGCACAGGGCTACCTAAATTTTGTGTGTTACCAGTACGGAGAAGAACGCTGGATGACACTTCATGAGTGCTGCTTTAGACACTGAGAAGCTTACTCCGGGCCCACAAACATTTCGGGATAAATATTTATCACTGCAAGTCAGCATTGTTAAAGTTAGAATCTCACCTCACATAAAGCACATCCATGATGCAGGATAATGAGCTTTAGAGGCCCCTGTCTAAGGTCCCAGTTCCAATTAGTGTGCGCCAGAGAGAACTGCATGAGAAATGTCAACAGCACAATAAAGCTGGCGGATTGGGCAGGAGAAATGATGATAAATCACCCTAGCAGAACCCATCAATCAGGGCCTGTTTCTGTTGCATGAAGGAGTTGTTTTGGCAAACTAATATTTGTCATTCCCTCTGAAATATTCTGCAAGCATAATGTACTATTTCTCAGTAGAAGGTTGACTGAATGAGTCTCTGGAGAATACAGCTAAATGATCTCCCCATTCAATAATCTGTAGATCATCAATATGTGTTTGTGATGTTTGTGCTAACTGAGAACAAAGATACTAGCCGCACATCCTATTGTTATATCAGGGGGATCAATTATTACCCACCCCCTTTTTTAATGGTTGTGCTACATAGAGAGTGTCTTGCCTCCAAAACTTTTATTAGCTAAGCAGTATGAACCAGGGACAAAGGAAAATGGAGATACCAAAATTCCAGTGAGACCCAGTTTCTCCTTTGGGCCATGGATGGTTTTCTGCATTGTATCCCAGACTCCACCTGGGTCAAACAATAATAATTCCTGCCTTCTTGGAGATTACCTTCTAGAGCAGGAGTTCAGAAAGTAAACAATATAAAATGAGTAAATTAGATAGTATGCTAGCAGGCGAGAGGGCTATAGATGCACAGTATCTCAGCACAGAGCAGGTACTGAGATCCATTGGCTATCTGGGGTAAAAAGCATTCTAGAGAGGAAGATCAAGGTCAAGACCCTGAAACGTAGCGGGAGAAACATGAGCAAGAACAGATGAGATCAGGGAGGAAAGGTGGGGGTGGATGGCCCTTATAGATCTGGAGGGTCTCACATTTGTAGGATCCTGTGGTAATAAGAATGACACCATTTATTATGACACTAGAGGCCTGGTGCACGAAATTCATGCTCGGGGATGTGTGTGTGTGTCCTTCAGCCAAGCCTGCACCCTCTCCAAACTGCAGTCGGACATTCCTCTCACAATCCAGGACTGCTGCCTCCCAAACGCTCGCCTGATTGCCCCTAACTGCCCTCCCCTGCCAGCCTGGTCACCTCTAACTGCCTTCCCTTGCCAGCCTGGTTGCCCCTAACTGTCCTCCCCTGCAGGCTTGTTCCTCTGCAAATGCCCTCCCCTGCAGGCCTGGTCCCCCCCAACTTCCCTCCCCTGCAGGCCTAATTGCCCCCAACTGCCTTCCCCTGTGGGCCATCTTGTGGCAGCCATCTTGTGGCCACATAGGGGCAGCCATCTTGTATGTTGGAGTGATGGTCATTTTGCATACTGGGTGTGACTAATTAGCATGTCATGGCTAATTAGCATATACCTCTCTTATTTGTGTTGGAGTGATGATCAATTTGCATACTGGTCATGACTAATTAGCATATCTGGTTGTGACTAATTAGCATGTCTGGGCTAATTAGCATACCCTTCTCTTATTATATAGGATGCCATGTCCCCAATGGGCTAGGCACCTTGCAAACATATCTCAGGCTTCCAGCAACCCTATGAGGAAGGCATTTTTATTTCTATTTTATAGATAAGGCTGTTATGGAAGTTCAAAAACACTTGGTCTAAGAGGTAAACTTGGAGTTGGGGAGGAGGAAACAGGTGAAGCAATGATCTGGGAGATGAAATCACCAGGATTCGGTGCCTTTTCAGACCTGGGCAGTGAGCATGAGGCTCTCGGCCTGACTCCAAGCCTCTGCTGGATGCTGGAATGATTAACCAAGAAAGGAAATGTGGAGGAAAGAATGGGTCTGGGTGGGGGAGTAGAAAGGATAAATCACAGTGAGATTCAGTTTTGAATACTTTTATTTTGAGACACTTGAGGAAAATACAGAGGGTAG